ATCAGTTTTAAAAAATAGTGAGCGATAACTAAGTGACAAGAACTGCATTAATGGGTTGTATATAATTAACTATTATTAAAACATAAGTTATTATTCATAATAAACATTTCGAGTCTATTAAAACAATGGGAGGTTAGAACAAACGCTTCTCATAAAAACAGAATTCATATTATTATAAGTCACATAATATTTTCAAATATAATAATATTAAATATTTGATTCGTTAATACAATTGAGATATAAAATAACTAATTTCAATGTCAATTGTCTCTGAGTTTGTAGAAAAGCATGTAAGCATTTCTGGTCACCACCGAGTCCTCGTCCACCGACTCCACGCGCGAGTCGTCAAAACAACGCCAACCTATCAGTCAATCGTAAATTCAATGTTCATTTGTTTGCAATTAAACACCAAATTCTAGTATCAATTGCAAAGTCAATACAAACCTATATTCTTATAGTTATCACTGGTTTTGGCGTAAGCGGTGTAATGACCGCCAAAAAGGCTACCGAAATGGTTGACCACTCCGAACAAGTCATAGACGGGCGGGCAGTCGGGATTGTTATCAGTCCTCACGTAGTATTGGCTCATATCTAAGCCGTGGATGGGATAGCGAACCATCGAATCGAGTTTCTCTCTCCAAAAACTGTTGCGAAAACTGAATCGCTTTAACTGAATGACCAGCACTTGAGGCAAACGCCATAACGTTATCTGTTTGTTTGCCTGTCGCTGTTCCTTACACTTCGGACAATACCTATGGGTTTAGATTTGCAAAACAATACATTACTTTCTCATTCATTAATTCATTTACGATAAGTGAACACAAATATGAGAATATAGCGAACCATGGGTTGTCTGCTGTGAGCGTTTCGGGTTTGGTGTGTAATTGCAAGCAGTCCTCCAAACCAATCACTTCGTTCGCTTCACTCCTGTGCTTGTAGTCCGTGTCACTACTGATACCACACTTCGTCTCCACTTTAATACAATGGTCACCAAATTTAGGAGAGTTAGTCCAATCCATAGCCAAGTAATAGTGATTAGCTTTGATTTGTGTATCGTATCGGTTGTCGTTGTCGTTGTCATTATCAACATCAGAGTCTTGAGCGTCAGGTTCGAGGAGTTCCGATGTCTCCT